GCTGAGTTCCTTCTCAATGTATTTGGAACTACCAACGGATCTTCGGACACATGCCCAAACAAGCCTCATCTCCACTCATCAAAGGAGACCATCCAGAGACTGACACAACAGAGCTACTCGATATGGACACACAAAAGATATATCAGTCCCTCATCGGTAGTCTACAATGGGCAATCCAAATTGGAAGGTTCGATATCGCCACGGCCACCATGACGACGTCCAGATTTTGGGCAGCACCAAGAATGGGTCACTTAGAACGAGTCAAGAGAATCTGCGGGTACCTTTCCAAGATGCGACACGGCATCATACGCATCCGAAAGGAGGAACCAGATTACTCAGCGATTCCTAAGAAAGAGTACGAATGGGAGTACTCATGCTACCATGGTGCCAAAGAAGTTCAACCACACAACGCACCGGTACCTCGAGGCAAACGGGTCATTCTCACCACATATGTGGATGCGAACCTCTACCACGATCTCATCAGTGGACGGTCAGTTACCGGAGTCCTGCACCTAGCGAACAAGACTCCCATTGACTGATTCAGCAAGCTACAGTCAACAGTCGAGACCGCAACGTTCGGATCTGAATATGTTGCAGCCCGTACCGCCACTGAGCAGATCATTGACCTACGAAGCATATTCAGGTACCTAGGAGTACTGGTCGACACGCCGACCATGATGTTCGGAGATAACGAGACGGTAGTCAACACCGCCTCGATGCCACACTCAAAGATTCTCAAAAGACACAATGCGCTTTCCTACCACCGTACTAGGGAAGCTGTTGCTGCAAGTATCTTGAGATTTCATCATATCCCTGGATCTACTAACCCTGCAGATATCCTCATCAAACACTGGGACTATACATCGGTATGGCCTATGCTGAATGCACTACTGTTTTGGTCAGGCGATACCAAGGATTGCGGTAAGAAACACTCAGAGTCGACAGTCGCCACTGAGGGGAGTGAAAGCGTTACAGTTCCTCCCACGACTCAGAGTATCCATGAGTAGATTGAGTCATGCTTTATGGGTCAACACGATGGAACAGAGAACACTGGCAAGAACACGTTCTCAACGAAACCAAAGGACACGGTAAATTGGAGTATTCGACAGGAGTAAAGCATCCTGCCAATGAACCGTTTCCCGCAGATACCACGTTGACTTCCGTATGAATCAAGATCAACTACCACGATGCATTGATCTAACTCGCTACGAACTAGCTTTACTGATCGCATCAATCAAAGCTCACAACACAGATTATGAATTACTAAGAAGCGAACTTTGCATTTACTTTGCACTCGTCTTGAATAGTTGCAGTTGATCTCGTTGGGTGGTAGCTACCTCTACAAGATCCCTCTATTCAAGTAGTATTTCCTCACGTTAGCAGTGAGGAGCGCGGGAATTAATTTTGCAAATTGTGAGATGGTCCTCTCGGCAACCATAATTAGGGTCATAGTTGCGAGAACCCATCAGGGTTCAAGTTTCCACGCTGCGGGGCGTGGAAACTCGGACGGGGGGTTCCCCAGGCGTGCTGCTGCTCAACACGGATGGGAGGGTGGAGCAGGCTGAACTCTACAGCTGGCTCACCACCACCACCTTTGCACCTTCCAAGCAGGCTGCTCTGGACTTTATTGTCAAGTTCAATCGGAACTTCAAGAGGTACAATGACGCCGTCAAGGCCAAGACTGAGCGCATCACTGAGGAAACCAAGAAGACACTACTCCAGCGTGCTCTCTCCGATGTGCCATTGCTCCATGCAGTCACCTCCCGTGAGATTGAGCGCATGACCTTGGAGCACAAGCCCGGTTACAACTTCGAGGAGTACTACGAAGTTATCAAGGTGACTGCCGCTAGCTACGACAGGAACAGGGCAACGTCACGCCGTCGGTCTGTCAATTGGCATGACATTGATGGTGACAACTGCGATGGTCCAGACATTGAGGCCCCAGCTGATGGAGACATTGATGCATTCAATGTCAACATGGACCCAACCACCCGGTTGCCCGATGAGTTCTTCCGCCAACTCCCACGTGAAGACAAGTCCATCTGGCACCGGCTGTCCCCCCAGGCCAAGAAGATCTTGATGGAGTCATCCCCACCCAAGCCTGGTCCACCTGCACGACAGGCTCACCTTTCTGAAATGGTAGAGCAGGATGAGGAGAAGGATCGCCCTGAACAAGTGGATGACACACTACCACCCACCATGGAAGCCAATCAAGCACAAGCCAAGCCTGGAGCTGGTCCATCCCACTCGGCACCCCAGTCCAAGTCAAATGACCTGCACCCGGCACACCCAGCTCGAATGATGGGCACCAAACCCAAGCCACGTGAAGGTAATCTTGCTGCTAGCCACCCGAGCAATCGATCCGCCCACCATGCATTCCACCGCATGCTGGACAACGTTGATGACATTGCCTCCGGTGCTGTCCATCCTTCCAAGCCTGGCCCTGATCGAGCGGATTTTTGGCTCGGTGACTAGCTTTTGTCTCAAGCTGGTCTAGCCGAGGAACCTATTCAGAGACAAATGACAGCGGGGTAGCACACAGTCAGCCCACAGCGGCGCTACCTTCCGCCGATGATGACTGGGTTGGAACCCCTATCCCCTCCTGAGGTCATGGTGTTCCCAACCACCCTTGTGTATCGTACTACTCAGCCTTCATCCATCACCGCAAACGACTTTGGTGTGCCTTGATGGATCGAGGCGCCAATGGATTTATCCTTGGCAATGATGTACGTGTTGTGAATTTATCTGGTACGTTCATTGATTTGAATGGTATTGACAATCACACAGTTCGAAACCTCCAGTTGGCTACTGCGGTTGTGTCCATGCGAAGTGATCATGGTCCCATCCTTGGTCGCATTCACCAGGGTGCTGTCATGTATGACGACCGTACCATTGCTTGTCCCGGTCAGATGGAGCACTTTGGTTGTTGTGTTCATGAGAAAGCCAAGACCGGGACTGGAGTGGACCCCTACTTTGTCACACCCAATGGTTTCAGAGTCCCCATGGCCATGCGCAATGGGCTTCTGTATGTCGACTGGCGGCCACCCACTGATGCTGAGATGGAAGACGACTCCATCCCTTTGATCGATTTGACAAGCCCACACCCGTGGGACCCCTCATGCCTTGATTCGGTCCCGCCCGATGATTGGTATGACACCCAAAGTACTAACATCCTTGACGATGCAGAGTCCCCTTTAGACAGCTTGGGCAGACTCCAGACTATGGATGACGATGCCCTGACTCCATCTCGTCCCACCCCCAAGCAGTCCATTGATCGTCGCGGTATTATCGCTGCCATGGCCGACCTTGTCAAAGACGATCTGGTCCCTGCCAGTGCTGATGATGTCCCCGCCCTCTTATCCCGCCAGTGCCATCATTATGACTCCAGCTCCGACGATGATTCTGACCTTGAGGATGACTCTGACATTGAAGATCTCCAACAGTGCTTTGCCCGTGTCCCCGACCTTATGCCCCCCTATGACGACTCCTCTGGTGCTGAAGACTCAGACTCCTCTGTTAATGATTCTGACTCCAACACTGAGGACTTCCGCCATTGTTTTGGAGTCCAAACCCGTGGCTAGCTTCGTGGGGAGCCTTCAAGTACTCGCTCCCGTTCCCGTCCCTCCCGCCCCTTTGACCCAACAAAAAATGGGGAGAAAAGGACTAGGAAGATGCCTGAAGTCAGACGACCTCGTCCCAAGAACATCCTCCGTTGACAGACGACCAACGAGTTGAGACAGACTCCCAAGCGATGAGATGACAGTTCCAGCAACGTTGAAGATGAAGAATGAAGACATTCTCAAGCGAACAACAGGGCCAAGCAGCTGCCCCCATATCCCGCAAGCGGCCCCTAAGCAGATTCCAATGATGCGGCGGTTCTTTCCGGGAACTAGTGACGAGACACTCAAGCGAACACGGGATGCCACTACCCAGTATGGTACCAAGGGAGCTGTCCAAGGTCGTACCCTCCGAAGCCAGATACTGTCGCCCGACCCGATCCTCAACATTCCGAGAAGGCAAGAAGATGTGGCTACGGATACTATCTACTGCAGTGTCCCTGCGGTTGATTTCGGATCTGTGGCAGCCCAATTCTTCATTGGACGCACATCCCACTACAGGTCATTACACCCTGCTGGCACCAGTGACGCAAGCTATGTCAAGACACTGATGGACAACATCCGAAGGTTTGGAGCAATGAACTGCATCAGGAGCGACAATGCCCAGGCCCAGCAAGCAAACGGGTCAAGGACATCCTACGGACCTTTTGCATCAACGACCGAACCTCTGAGCATACAGAGGGAATCAGAACTATGCAGAACACGGATGAAAGGATACCAAGACCAAGACGCAGCTGGTGCTGGACACCAAGAATGCACCATCTAATTGTTGGCTGACTGCTGGCAGTACGTGACCACCCTGCAGAATCATATGGCATATGAGAGCCTTGGATGGAGAACTCCCTTTGAGTGGTTGCATGGGTACACGCCTGACATATCTGCACTTCTCCAATTTGAGTTTATGAACCAGTACACAGAATATGACGCAAAGTTCCCACAGGACTGGGGGGAGGTTCGTTGGCGTTCAGAGTATGTCGGATGACGTACAAGATCACTGAGACGACAAGATCATCCATGGGCTGTCGCTAGAACAGCAAGACTAGGCAACGAATTCACCATAAGCTGCGCCCCAAGCCCAAGCCATTTGTAGAGGGCCACCCTCAAAGACCATCGAAGGGGTATTGATCTTGGGGAGTCCCATGACGCTACAGTGTTCCATGACGCCTCCGGCACGATATCAGCTACACCTGAGAGAGGACGACATTCCGCCATTGTTTTGGAGTCCAAAACCCGTGGCTAGCTTCGTGGGAGCCTTCAAGTACTCGCTCCCGTTCCCGTCCCTCCCGCCCCTTGACCCAACAAAAAAGGGGAGAAAAGGACTAGAAGATGCCTGAAGTCAGACGACCTCGTCCCAAGAAGCAGTCCTCCGTGACAGACGACCAGAGTTGAGACAGTACTCCCAAGCGATGATGAGACAGTTCCAGCAACGTTGAAGATGAAGATGAAGACATTCTCTAAGTCGAACAACAGGGCCAAGCACCGCGTGACGCCCCCATATCCCGCAAGCGGCCCCCTGAGCAGATTCCATGATGCGGCGGTTCTTTCGGGAACTAGTGACGAGACATCAAGCGAACATGGATGCCACTACCCAGTAGGTACCAAGGGAGCTGTCCAAGGTCGTACCTCCAAAGCCAGATACTGTCGCCCGACCCGATCCTCAACATTCCGAGAAGGCAAGAAGATGTGGCTACGGATACTATCTACGCAGTGTCCCTGCGGTTGATTTCGGATCTGTGGCAGCCCAATTCTTCATTGGACGCACATCCCACTACAGGTCATTACACCCTGCTGGCACCAGTGACGCAAGCTATGTCAAGACACTGATGGACAACATCCGAAGGTTTGGAGCAATGAACTGCATCAGGAGCGACAATGCCCAGGCCCAGGCAAGCAAACGGGTCAAGGACATCCTACGGACCTTTTGCATCAACGACCGAACCTCTGAGCCATACAGAGGGAATCAGAACTATGCAGAACACGGATGAAAGGATACCAAGACCAAGACGCAGCTGGTTTGACACCAAGAATGCACCTCAAGTTGTTGGCTGACTGCTGGCAGTACGTGACCACCCTGCAGAATCATATGGCATATGAGAGCCTTGATGGAGAACTCCCTTTGAGTGGTTGCATGGGTACACGCCTGACATATCTGCACTTCTTCAATTTGAGTTTTATGAACCAGTCTACTACCAGAAGTATGACGCAAAGTTCCCACAGGACTCAACCGAGTGTGGGGGGAGGTTCGTTGGCGTCTCAGAGTATGTCGGTCATGGCATGACGTACAAGATCTCACTGAGGACGACAAGATCATCCACCGGGCTGTCTCTAGAACAGCAAGACTAGGCAACGAATTCACCAATTGGAAGGCGGATGCACAGGCACCCAAGCTTGCGCCCAAGCCCAAGCCATTTGTAGACGGCCACCCTCAAAGACCATCGAAGGAGGTATTGATCTTGGGGAGTCCCATGACGCTACAGTGTTCCATGACGCCATCCGGCACGATATCAGCTCACACCTGAGAGAGGACGACATTCTCCAAGGTGGCACACAATTGAGACAGATGGAAGCAGATGGAGAAACTGACCTGATCCAGATGGCAAACTGCAACTTGCAGCAGCTGCCACAGTGCAACTTCAACTTCAAGTATGTCAGAGCTGAGACACGTCTGAGGAAGCATGTGGGCAGTTCACTGTTTGAAGAATGTTGAAGGGCAATGCAAGGCAGTTGTGATCCTGAAGATGGTTGAAGGGCAATGTGAGGCAGTTGTGGTCCTGGAGAATGTTGAAGGGCAATGTGTGGGCAGTTGAGCAGTTGACCAACAACAAGGCAATTGGTTAGTCTTGGGGCAATGCTAGTCTTGGGGGCAATGTGCAAGTGTCAATGACTGTGACCCCAGACTGATGACTGTCCAAGGCTACCTGTTTGCTGTGAGACTGGTACTGATAAAAGGTCATTGTTGGTCATTCTACCCTGTTTCCCATGCTGTAAAATCAGAAACACAACAAACAAAATCCCCATTTTTGAGCTCACAATTTCAAAGGTAAATTGTCTTAAAACAACAAATAGCAAAATACAATATCCTTTACTGGTTATTGAGCCCAAGCAATCTGACTAACCCTCACTTGCGCTACCTCTGTCAAGAAGCAGCCTCATCCCTTCTCCAAACAAGGCAAGTACTTCAGGGCCCGGAAGGACTTGTCATCTGTTGGAGCAGGTTGTTGCTTGTGTGAATTGAGGTTGCATTCACTTCATTACAGCAAGTAAGTTTTGAAGAAGTCTCCAAGGGAGATTCTCTGAAGGCTCCATGGGAGCAATTGATCGTCGACAAGAAGCCTCCGCAGAGGAGCATTTGGTACCAAGGTCTCCACTGAGACAGGAAGAAGACTTCACAAGGAAGCAAGATGTCTGCCAGGAAGTTGCAGGACCTCGAGGAGCGCCTCAACCTGACTGAAGCCAAGGCAGCAGAGGCAGAAAGAAAGGCGGAAGAAGCCAAGAAGGAACTTGAAGCCATAAAGACCGTGCAGTCCGTACAGGATGAGAAGGGAGAGAATGTTGTCAAACAGTTGCAAGAGATTTCTGGTAAGATCAATGAGAAGATGACCTCGCGGATGCGCTCCTTCAAGGTTCGGATGTTCCGCTCGGCGGGACCACTGTGAGTCTGAGCCGCTCCATGGTTGAGCTTGAGCTCCATGTCGTTCTTGACAGGATCCATCAGGCTCTTGAACTCCAGGTCGCACTGTATTTCTTGGATCTTGAAATCATTATTTCCGTACCGATCAAAAATCTTGTCGATGGCGGCATAGAATGATTGTCCTTTCCTGTTGGTCAGGTAGGCTGATTCGCGGTGTCGGATTTGCAAGTCAGTGAATGCTAGGAAGGCAATCTCACAGACATAAAACACATCCATGCATCCGGTCAGGAACCTGTGTGGTGCCACCAGCTCATCCGGTACAGTATGAATACTGTCGGTCACTGGTGGCGGGCGTCGGCGTCAAGCGCGGGGAAGAGGTTGAGTTTACAATTAACATCGTACACCAATTCGAAAATCCTCACTTTTGCTTTTCAGCTTAATCTAAAACCAAATTACTCCCAATAAGCTGCAGTATTACTAGCAAACAACACTGAAAGCAAAAGTGAGGATTTCTGGTGGTGCATAGCAATTCTTGTGATTGAATGATATAAGGACCCCCGTAGCACTTTAGACTAAAACTCCCTTGGTTCCTTGCATGATGAATTTACATGAACCGGACTAGATGATTAATACACGAGTCAATAGTAAAGAGGTGTCAGGTATGTTTCCTCCAACACACTCCTGCACGGTGCCCTAAGTGGCTACCGTGGAACGAATAAAATAAATAGGCAATCAAACAAGGGGTGGATGCCCCATGATGAAAGCCCTGTGCTCGTGGAAGAGCTTGCCCTGAAGGGGCTTCTGAAAAAATTCCACGCATTCCAAGGTTGGGCAGTACAAACATCTAAGGTTGCCTTTCCCAATCTGATAATGAATAAAAAAGAAACGAATGTTGATAGCCGAGTTCTTTTGCCCGAACTGCCTTTGCCATTCTCTGCAGAAATCGTGCTTTTGTTGTCCTGCATAAGGATGTTGTCTTCACAACGATCCCCTGCTCTTCAAGGACAACTTTGCCCACAACATGGGCGACATGACATCGTCAGCTCCAATCAGTTCCGCTTCCAGTGCTGCTTCTTGAGTTGAGCTTCTGTTCGCGGATACAGAAAGCACGCTCCTCTTCAAAGGACATGACTCTCCTGTATGGAAGGTAATCAGGATGGACTGCAAATGATCATCCACCCACCAAGTGATACACGGATATCATCAACTGGAGTATCAATTGTCCCCACTGTTTGGTCCAGGAATTCAATCCTTGGATCAACTTGCCCCAGTCATCAACTGTGGGATTCCTCACACGTGTACAGAGAACAATTGTCAGTGTTTGAACATCTGGTCGTGCTCTCTTGCACGCGAACAAACAGCTTGGCTGCGTTGGTGTGATAGATTTCTTTGGTCTTGTCATCCAAAGAGCTCCATCACCAGAACTGAAATAAATCGGCAGGTGCCCGCTGCACCTTCTTCATTTGCTGAAGTCCACCGGGAACTCCAAGATCATCTTCTTAGATAGTCAATCATGTCAATGACTACCTTGCCTGGATCGGAAAAGTCCACCGCCATCCCCAAGTAGTCATGCTTGGGACCACGGGTTGCTTTCACGGCTCCATAGGTTCCTACCTAGCGTTGAACCATTCAGAGTTTGGTTATTCACCAACTTCATTCTGTGGCTTGACATTAGGTCATAACATGAAATCGAATTGTTTGTTGGTACCTTCGATCATGCGGTTGCCACACAAGGATCGTATGTTGAACACAAATCCAATTTGTTCGGGTCGCTCCTGAAGAGCTGTACCAGAGTAATGCTGCAAAACCATTCCGTAGATGCTCTTTCCACAACGACATAGAGACTGGTCGTCCCTTCTTGTATGTCAGGAAAGAGGCATATATGTGTCAGGATCAATTTCGACAAGTAAGTCTGCAAGGGTTCCCTAATGATCATGAGGACCCTGTCTTCACTTGTTTGACTTCTGGCATTGGGTTTGGATGAACGCATTGGAACATCCAGGACATCACATCCCTATCTTCAGATGCATCGACACACAGGATAACATCAAACCCTCAGTGAAACTGTTGGACTTCTGGCATCTTCTTTCTGATGGTACACCCTGGTAGGTTTCCCATTGTAGACTGCACGGCCT